CTACTACTACTACTACTACTACTACTACTACTACTACTACTACTACTACTACTGATACTGACGACGACAGTGATGAAGATACAATAATATTAATGATAACTGACTGCTTTTATATTGCTCGTACGCCTACACTCAGTATTTTTATCATTATCCCATGGAAGATTCCTTAAAGTTCTGAATTATTAAGAGTCGCAAGGCAATTTTAAGCATCCAGTGTTCGTTTCCATAGCACCCTGCAGGTTTTAGAGCAACAGCCAACTGGCAAGATCTTTACTTTCATGGTCTCAGCTGGGTTTCCAATCCTATAATGTAGCTGAAGTCAAGATAATTTCCAACGTCTACCTGACGTTATTATTGACCGGGCAAGCTGGGATACGTGAAGAATAGCCTACATTGTTGTTTTATGGGGTTTTTTTTAAAACCTTTTCAGCTTTTTAGAGTTACACGTACTTTTGTTCTCGTTATATTTCACAATGATACAAAATGTATTGTAAAATGTGAAGCGTGCTGACAAAATGAGTTACTTCTCAGATTCAAGCCTTAAGGAAATAGATAAATCACTCTTACAGGTAAAATTGTAGCAATTTATAAGTATGAAATAATAAAAGGCATGTTATAGTTTTAGAATATGGCACCAATAGAAAATCTACAAATTTGACCCTAATGTCTATTTTTGGATTGCGAGAAGTAACTCATTTTGTCAGCATGCCTAAAAAATTATTTCCCATAGGGAGCACGAGGCAGGGGTAGGCCACGGGAAACATGGAGGTGAGATGTGGTGGAAAGGGACATGAGAGAGATGAAGCTCACTTGGAACGAGCTAAGAAGGATGGCACTAGATAGAGATAAATGGAAGGAGCTTGTATGTGGCCTATACTCTGCCAGGGGTGAAAGGCACAGATGATGAAAATTATTTCCGTCAAACCAGTCCCTGAATTAAAACGATGTGTAATGCGACCTGCGTAATAAAATCGCAGGTGAAACTGCATTGAAGTAGGGATCGACAGGGTATCTGTATAACATAATTTTTTTAAATGGCCATAATGCATGCATGATTAATTGTAATCTCAAGGAAATACCCTGGACATGAGCTCAAAGTTAACTTGCTGCTATGAATCCAACGACAGACAGGCGATGCTTTTCTTGGAAGGTGTTGTCACGACAAAAAGCCGTTAACGGTGTTAATTTTTGTTTTAATATATATATTTAGTCTGTCTTCGTGTTAACAATGATATTATCGTTCGAAGCCGTCATGTCTTTAAAGACGTAAAGGAACAAAGGCAGAAATAAACCCCTTTTTGCTGTTGTCAGGATTTTCGTTTGTGTGTGTGTGTTTGTGTGTGTGTGTGTGTGTGTGTGTGTGTGTGTGTGTGTGTGTGTGTTTCTATCCTGGCGTTTATCTTATGCAAGAGTGTGGGTGGAGAGGGAGTGTTAAAAAAGAAAAAAAAATACAGAATGTGACGTCCGCATAATCGCAGAGATAGCGGTGGGCGTTAATTGTATTGAGAACAGATACATTTTTTCCTTAAGAAACCTCAGCTCAATTTGCAAAACTGATATCCAGGCGCAACCGATGTCTTTGTGCATTAGCTTTCATCACACACACACACACACACACACACACACACACACACACACACACACACACATATTTTTTCTTCTAATTTTTACATTTGACACCAGGTGATTCCCATTTCCTTCAATTTCAAATATATCTCAGCTTCTATTCAAGATAGATCGGTATTTTCGTCAATGGCAAGGCAAATGGACCCGATTTTATACATAAGATTCTATCGACGGCTCCTTATGCCCTAAAATTGAGGAGCGATTAATTACTGATTACACGGCCTCGTGACACATTTCTCGGCTACACATGGAGGTGGAGATAGATGGGGAGTATAAAGAAATTATACTATTTTCTAGTCGAAGCTCTTATATTTATCCTTGGACTTTTTGAAACAATGTGCGAAAATGCAGTGTTTTTTTTCCTTTTGATAAGTGTTTTGTGGCGCTCGCAACTGCATAAGGTCATATGAGCGCGCGGACACACCAAACATTTCCAGTTGGTAGGACATTTTGAGTTTTGCCCGTATGAAAATCTTATTGATTTCAGGCCATCAAGGAATCTTTATTGTGCGCAACGTGCACACAGAACCTCCGAGATTATTCGTCCTTGTCCGAAGGAGGTTAAGTATAGATCTTCCCTATCAGAAGATCAAGGGTGTGGCTGAAGGACAGCAGTAAGAAGGAGCCAAGGAGTAGCAGTAGAAAGGTTGCAGAAAGAGTCAGGAGCCCAGAGGAGGGGGGCAAAGGAGGTTGGGACAGAAAGTTGAGGCGAAAGCGGACAACAGAACATTGGTAGAGAGCAGGAAAGGAGGTGAAAGGAGACAATTTTAGAGAAGAAAATTGTTTCCATCGCTACCCGGATTCGAATCCGGGACCTTTGAATGAGAGGCGAACACCTTAACCTCTAAACCACGAGAGTCCCCTATGTAAAGGTTTAACGCCCCTTGCAACACAGTAAGGTTATCTAAAACGTCAGACCTAACAAATCTTTCCTTATCCTTTCTGACTCTCTGTCTTGCATCACCTCACTCACAAACTACACACTCTTACACCCAAAAATAGTTAGGCTACAACAGAAAATCCATACACTATCCGAAACAGGAAAAAACATCATGTTCGCATGGATACCCAGCCATGTGGGCATCCGAGGAAACGAGCAGGT